AAATACTGCCAACAAAGAACAAATGGGAGCTTTAAGAAATCTTCAAACAGCATTAAATGGAGATGATGAATTTACTCATCTGTGTTCTTAACCTCTTGTGTTTTCTTTTATTCCATTATTTTCTATGGCTTCTAAGTAGATCTCTCAGTGGATCTCTGAAGAGTCTTAAGCAGATTTGTCATTGGCTGGGACAGGGCAAGGAGAAGTTGATCTTTGTGCATTTCTTCCCACTATCAAGGTACTTCATTTACTTCCTTTCCTCGTCTGCTTCCCTCCTACCTCTTGCCAGACTGTACAAATACTCCATTTCTCATTATTCCCCATCCTATCATGCTATCCACACTAGGGTTGCTGGACTTTGCAAACAGAAATAGAAATATAGTGAAATATGTCTTAACTTGCCAATATTTAAAAAAGTATGTTTCTGAAACACTTGGGTATGGTTCTACTTTAAAAATACCTGAAATTCTGGGGCTGGGAAGGTGGCTCAGTGGTAGAGCACTTGCCTGGCATGCTTGAGGCCCTGGGTTCGATTCCTCAGCACCACATAAGCAGAAAAAAAAAAAGAAAGCCGGAAGTGGCGCTGTGGCTCAAGTGCTAGAGTGCTAGCCTTGAGCTGAAGAGCTGAGGGACAGCGCCCAGGCCCAGAGTTCAGGCCCCAGGACCAGACCCCCAAAAAATATCTGAAATTCAAATTTTACTTGGACTCTTGTGTCTTTGGCAACCCTGCTCTCTCTTAGGGGCTACAGGAGGCTCTACTCTGGGCTGAGAATTTGATCTGCTTCTATTTCAATCTTGAAAAAAGGCCAAAATCTGAATACCACCATTCCATCCCAGTGGACTATGCTCCCATCTTCCAGTTCATTTTCATGAGATCTCCCTTACACATTTTTAAGTCTTCCAACTCCAAACAGATGAATAATTGACAAAATACCAGCTCTAGACTCCATTTAGCTTTGCCTCAGTCATTGCCCAAATTTTTATTTTCAGTAAATGAAGGTAAGATTCCCTAAGATACACCAGAATTCAGGCACTTACATAAAATACCTTTGGTTTCCATTCCTGCTTTGTAATGAAGCTAGCAGGAGCTCAATGTGGTGCCATGTACCCATCTTATAGTTCCAACTAGGAAGGAGTGAGGTGGGCAGATCACTTAAGCACAGGAGCTCCAGACCAGCCTGGGCAACAAGGGCAGGTACAAGACAAGAGTCTCAATAAACAAACAAACAAGAAGTTATTATAGAAGAGGTTTAATGTACACAGTTAGACACTTACTAGAACCTTAGGGCAGTTAAAAATAAGTGAAAAACCTATATATCTAAGGAAGCAGTAACTACATTTAAGTACAAACTTAAGGTAAAACATCTATTTAATATGAAGAATAAAGCACCTCAGATGAATTCCTAGTGGAGTACTGATAAAACTCCATTGAGATTTTCTTTTCATTGGGTCTGTAAATAGAAGGAGGAAAAGATAACCTAAATTCAGTACACTAGAAGGAAAAACAAAATCTTTTTTTGTTGATCTGGGAGTTGAACTCAGGGCCTGGGCGCTGTCCCTGAGCTTTTTCACTCAAGGCTAGCACTCTACCACTTTGAGCCACAGGGTCACTCCCGGTTTTCTGCGGGTTAATTGGGGGGTAAGAGTTTCATGGAGGGCTGGGAAGGTAGTTTAGTGGTAGAGTGCTTGCCTCAAATGCATGAGGCCCTGGGTTCAATTCCTTAGCACCATGTATACAGAAAAAAGCCGGAAGTGGCACTGTGGCTCAAGTGGTAGGGCACTATCCTTGAGCTGAAGAGCTGAGGGACAGTGCCCAGGCCCAGAGTTCAGCTTCACAACCAACCAAAAAAAAAAAAAAAGGTTTCATGGACTTTCCTGCCCCAGCTGGCTTTGAACTGTGAGCCTCAAATCTCAGCTTCCTGAGTAGCTAGCCACCAGAACCTGGTTAGTATATCCCCTTTCTAAGTAAATCCCCTCCTTTGTTTCAAGAGTCAGAGTTAATGCCCTTTCAAAGGCTTCACAACTGACTTGAAAAGTATCCACCAGGCAGGGCAGACTCACAGCAATTAAGTGGAGGCAGGAGTCTCAGAGCCAGGTGGTGGTAGCTCAAATCTGTAATCCTAGCTGCTCAGAAGGCTGAGATTTGAAGATCACAGTTTGAAGCCAGCCTGCTCAGAAAAGTCCCCAGGAGACTTATCTCCAGTTAACCAATAGAAAACCAGAGCACTAATCTTGAGTGAAAGAGCTGGGGGACTGCAGCACCCAGGCCCTAAGTTCAAGCCCCATGACCACCCCCTTCCCCCCAAAAAAAAGTCTCACAGATTTTCTTGCTCTGGTTGGCTTTCAATTGCAACCCTCACATCTCAGTCTCCTAAGTAGTTAGAATTATAAGCATGAGCCACCAGTGCCTACCTAGGCCTGGAATCTTGATCCCTGGTCTCCAGTTCTCAAATAGCCAGTATTATAGGCTTGAGACACCAAGCTTGGCAAGTCACTTTTTTATGAAAGTATAAATTCTTGAGAGGTGTGTGTGTGTTCTTAAATGAATCCATTTTAAGTGTTTAGTGTGATGAATGACAACAATACACACACACACACACACTCACACACGTACCTGTTATCATTACCTAGATCAATATATAGAACTCTATCATCTGAAGAAAGTTCTTAACTCCCTTCTCTCAGGCAACCACTGATAAAAACCACTAATTTAAAAAACAATGGCACTGGGCTGGGAATGTGGCTCAGTGGTAGAGTGCTTGTCTAGCATGCATAAAGCCCTGAGTTTGATTCCTCAGTACCACATAAATAGAAAAAGCCAAAATTGTGTTGTGACTCAAGTGGTAGAGTGCTATCCTTAAAAGAAGCTCAGGGACAGTGCCCAGGCCCTGAGTTCAAGCCCTAGGACTGGAAAAAGCAAAACAAAACAAAACCAAAGGCAGAAAACCCTTTGAAACTCTTTTTTAAAAAATTGTATTAAATTTTTTTTATTATAAAGGTAATGTACAGAGAGGTTACAGTTAGATAGGTAAGGTCATGAGTACATTTCTTTTTTGAACAGTGTTATCTCCTCTCTCATTTTCATCTGTTCTCCTTCCCACCCCTGTTTTTTGTTGTTGTTGATGTTTGTCTTTTTTTTTGTACAACCCAGGATGTTGCAAATGCTAGGCAAGCACTTTGCCACTGAGCTACATCCCAGCTCTCTGTGAGACTCTTATCTTCACTAAATTACCAAAAAAGCTGGAAGGGTAGCCATGGCTCAAATGGTAGAGTACTAGTCTTGAGTAAAAAAGATCAGGGACAGCACTCAAGTGCTGAGGTTAAGCCCCAGGACCAGCACACACACACACACAAAACCTCCCCCCCAAAACATAAAACAAGGTAATTACTCAATCTGACGTGGAATAAAACCCTTTTGTACAACCACTTAAAATTTAAAAATGAGCCAGGTGCTGGGGGCTCATGCCTATAATCCTAGCTACTCAGGAGGCTGAGATGTGAGGATCGTGGTTCAAAGCCAGTCCAGGCAAGAAAGTCCATGAGACTCTGATCTCCAAATAACCACCACTTGGCACTGTGTCTCAAGTGGTAGAGCACTAGCCTTGAGCTGAAGAGCTGAGGGACAGCGCCCAGGCCCAGAGTTCAAGCCCCATGACCAACAACAACAACAACAACAAATTTTTAAATGATAAAACCAGAATGATTAATTGTTCCTATTCTTAAAATATTAAATAATATACTACATATGGGTAAAGAAAGAAATGTCATAAAGAATATACATGAAAATTTTCAATTGAGATCAAGGGCCAATGAAAAACAACGTAGCTAATTGGAGAATAAAACAGAGAGACAACTATTAAAATTTAATGACATTATTAAACTAAGTTAAACTTGATTACTGAAAATCTGTATATTTTAGAACTCTCTTATACTGACTGATGAAATGAATAGCAGTCATAAAGTAGGCAAAGTGTGTTTGCCTGTAGTCCCAGTTACTGGCAAGCTGAAATAGAAGGAGCACTTGAGCCCAGATATTCATGGTCAGTCTGGGCAACTTAGTGAGACTCTATCTCTCTCCTTTTTTGTGCCAGTACTGTGCTCGCTCAGTACATATGCTCAGCTTTTTCGCACATGGCTGACACCTCACCAGCTAAGCCATGCCTCCAGTTCTGCTTTTTTCTGGTTAATTGGAGATAAGTCCTGTGGATTTGTCCACCTAGGCTGGCTTTAAACCATGATCCTTAGATTTCAGCCTTCTGAGTAGCAAGGATTATAGGCATAAGCTACCTGCACTCTGGAAAACTGACCTTGTCTCTTTAACAGAAAAAAACAAAAAACAAGAACAAAACCCTAACAAAATGTTGAATTCATTTGGAAAGGGTTTATAATTTAAGTTTTAAAATGAAGAAGAAACAATTGTTAGGCCTGGAAAGTATAGTAAGAAGTAGCAAAATAGACACCAAATGACACCAATGAGGAATAGCTGGCTGTGAAGGAGAAATGCAGGCTTCACTCTCCTGTAGATCCCTCAATTCTCCAAGAACAAATGTAGCTCATATAACAAAATATTTTATCTCATTTAATTAAAAAAATCAATTTGTTAAGCTCATGCCTGTAACCCTAAACACTCAGGAGGCTGAGATCTAAGGACTGAAATTTGAAGCCAGCCTAGGTGGAAAAATCTGTAAGACTCTTACCTTCAATAAACTACTGAAAAAAAGAAATGGCACTGTGGCTCAAGTGGTAGAGTGCTAGCTTGGGCACAAAGAAGCTCAGAGACAGCACACAGGCCCTGAGTTCAAGCCCTAAGACCAGCAAAAAAAAAAAAAAACCTATCAATTTGTTAACTTTAGGGTAATATTGGGAGAGAGAAATGGAGAACGATATTAATCAAGATGCACTGTAGTCCTGTAATCATAACCTTACTTATGGAAATGTAACTCTTTATGCAACTACTTAATAATAATAATAATAAATGAATTGTTGCCTGGAACAAACAGTGTCAATAAAACCTTCTTATCTTCAGGACAGAGGTAATATCCTAAACAAGATTCAATTTATGAGCTCTGCTACCAACCAAGAGGGTACCCAAACACAAAGGCTGTGGTAAGTAAGTCTTTTAAGTCTTTCGCTGCAGGCAAAGCCATTTGGTTGGCACTTCATAGGAATATCTTTCCACCAGGTCTTCATCATAAGGTATGTGCCACGAGTCTCCAGTTGTTTGCACAACTGTGTCATATCTGAGAATACTCTGTTGAATAAAAAAGAGAACCAAACATTGAGAATAACAATACAAGGTATCCTAGCTATTTCCCCATTTTCCAACAACTTCTCAATTTCTTTGAAAGGTAGCCTCTGTTCTATTTAAAAGTAGATTTTCAAAGAGCAGCTAATACTGAAAATTGGTACTGGAAATTCCTTCCTTCCTTCCTTCCTTTGTACTAGTGTTTGAACTTCAGGCCTCATGCTAGCAATGTAGGTACTACCTAGTCCTGTTTTGTAATTTTTTGTTTTTTTTTTGGTCAGTCATGGAACTTGAACTCTAGCTCTGAGTACTGTCCCTGAGCACTTCAGCTCAAGGCAAATGCTCTACCATTGGAACCACAGCACCACTTCCTGTTTTTCAGTGGTTAACTGGAGATAAAGTCTCAGGGACTTTCCTGCCTGGGTTGGCTTTGAACCTCGATCCTCAGATCTCAGCCTCCTGAGTAACTGGGATTACAGGCATGAGCCACTGGGCACCCAGCTGTAATGGTTATTTTTAAGATGAGGTCTTGCTTCTTCTCCAGGTGTGTACCTGGATCTGCCTTGATATGCTTATTTTAGGTTTTTGGTGTTCGTTGATTCTTTTTTTTTTTGTTTCTATCATTGTTGGGATGACAGCATCACATTTTTAGCCTCCCAAGTAGCTAGAAATATAGGTGTGAACCACCAGTAGGTTTTCTTAGGAGGATTACTCGTTTGCTGGTTAATACGAATTTTTCTGCCTAGGATGACTGAATTGTGATCCTTCAGTTCTCAGCCTCCTGAATAGCTATGATTACAGACATAAGCAACCACCACTTGACTTCCAAAAAGAATCTTTTTGTTGCCTTCATTCATTTGTTTGTGAGAAAATTTTTAAATATATGAAAGAAGAAAAACACCATAAGAACTGCCATGTGCCCATCACCTAGCTTCAGCTATTAACAACTCATGGCTAATCTTATTTCATTGGAGCCTGGCCCACTTTCAACCATGTCATCTGTCCTGTACCATTTCTTTTTTTTTTTTTTTTTTTTTTGGGTCCGGTTGTGGGGCCTGAACTCTGGGCCTGGGCGCTGTCCCTCAGCTCTTCAGCTCAAGGCTAGCACTCTAGCACTTGAGCCACAGCGCCACTTCCGGCTTTTTTCTTTTTGCTTATGTGGTGCTGAGGAATCAAACCCAGGGCCTCAGGCATACAAGGCAAGCACTCTACCACTGAGCCACCTTCCCAGCCCTGTCCTGTACCATTTCTTATAATACAGTCTTAGTTTTGCTGATTGAATCCCTTATTCTTTTTTTTTGCTAGTCATGGGACTTGAACTCAGGGCCTGAGCACTGTCCCTGAGCTTCTTTTGTTCAAGGATAATGTTCTACCACGTGAGCCACTGCACCACTTCCAGCTTTTTTTGCTTATGTGGTACTGAGGAATTGAACCCAGGGCTTCATGTATGATAGACAAGCACTCTACCACTGAGTCCTATCCCCTTATTCATTTTAAAAATGAACAGTTACAAATTATTTATCTATATTCATTGTGAATATGGTTTGAAATATGTCTACATTATGGAATGACCCAAGCTTAATAATTAACCTGAGTTACTTCACTAACTTATCCTTTTTCCTAGTGAGAACAACTTTTAAAAGTTATACCACATTCATACTATGTATTTGGTTCTTAACATTACATAGAGAATAGATACCATACCTGAAAGGTTATTTTTGATCCTGGAAACCTATTTATAATTGCCAGCTGATGTCCCTGTTGCCACTTAAAGAACAGGTGTTGGGTCTTGACATCAGGAAGACAGGCCTTGTGGTCCCGCATCAGGTCGTTTGTGATAAACTTGCAGTGATTCCCTGAGTTCAGTGTGGCATATAGGAGGAATGGATCGTCCTCTGAGCTGAACAGGGCATAAGAAAGACACAATCAAACATACACAAAAGAAGGTAGTGTGGGCTGGGAATGTGGCTTAATGGTAGAGTGTTTGCTTGGCATGCATGAAGCCCTGGTTATGATTCCTCAGTACCATATAAGCAGAAAAAGCTGGAAGTGGCACTATGTCTCAAGTGGTAGAGCACTCAAGTGGTAGAGCACTGGCCTTGAATACAGAGAGGCTCAGGGACAGAGCCCAGGCCCAGGCCCAGCTAAAAAAAAAAGATAGTATATATTTTTAAAACCTGTTTATTCCTCCCACTTTTGTTGGATTTCTTTCTTTCCTTCCTTCCTTCCTTTCTCTCTTTCTTTCTTCCTTTCTTTCTTTCTTTCTTTCTTTCCTTCCTTCACTCCCTTTCTTCCTTCCTTTTTTTTCTATACTGGCAACTAGGGCTTGAACCCAAGGCCTCTCAGTCTGGCTTAGCTTTTTCACTCAAGACTGGGGATCTACTAATTGAGCCACACATACCTTCATTTCTGGCTTTTCTTTTCTATTTTTCTGGTTAATTGGAGATAACAATCTCATGGATTTGTCTGCCAGAGCTGGGTCCAAATATCAATCCTTAGTTCTCATGCTCCTGGGTAGCTAGGATTATAGGCATGAGCCACCAGTATCAGGCCTCAGAATTCTTTTTTTTTTCTTTTTGCCAGTCCTGGGGCTTGAGCTCAGGCTTGGGCACTGTCCCTGAGCTTCTTTTTGCTTAAGGCTAGCACTCTACAACTTGAGCCACCTCTACTTCTGGCTTTTTCTGTTTATGTGGTACTAAGATATTGAACCCAGGGCTTCATGCATGCTAGGCAAGCACTCTACCACTAAGCCATATTCTCAGCCCCACCCCCTTTTCCTGTTAAATTTTATTTATTGTTGACAAAAGTTTTGTGTTAAGTTTTATCTTGTATTTTGTTTGGTGTTGCCTGTTTTTCTAGTGCTGATGTTAGGAAACGGAGTCATTAGGCTTAGGAAAGATCAAGTGGATGAACGGTGGGACGGTAGAGACCTCAGCAGAGCAGAACGGGCTTTAATCATTACTGCAGAGAGACTCCATTTCCTCTGAATTCTTTTTTTTTTTTTGGCATTTTTCATTTAGGTTTGTTTTATTTAAGTTTAATGTTAATTCCATGCTGTGTTTCAGTAAGAACAATACAGATTCTGTATCTGTGGCTCCAGTCAGATATCTAGTAGTACAAATTAGCTTCAAGTTACACATACTAAACAAAAGAGGTTGAGCGAGTGAAGGAAAAAAGGAAAGAAGAAGGGAGAGAGAAAGGGAGGGAGAGAGGGAGGTGGGGAGAGGGAAGAAGAAACAAAGAACTGCTCTGAATTCTTTTTTTTCTGGGGGGGGAGGTCAGTTGTGAGGCTTGAACTCTGGGCTTGGGCGCTGTCCCTCAGCTCTTCAGTTTAAGGCAAGCGCTCTACCGATTGAACTGCAGTGCCACTTCCGGTTTTCTAGTGGTTTATTGGAGATAAGAGTCTCATGGACTTTCCTGCCTGCGCTGCCTTTGAACCACGATCCTCAGATCTCAGCCTCTTAAGTAGCTAGGATTACAGGCATGCGCCACCGGCGCCCGGCTCTGTTCTGAATTCTTAACAGACATAATTTCATGGAGAAAGCACCTGGAAGTCCTGAACCCTAACAACACTGTGTAGAACCAACTGGAAAACTGAGGGCATGGAATGCTCGAAAAGCCCAACTAGGCAATTCTACTAGAACAAAGAATTCCAACAATTCTCTACACATTTAAAAACTAGTTGCCTAGGGATGGGTGGAGGTGGTAGTGCGGGGAAACGGGGGGTGGAATAAGGAAGGGGTGACACTGGCCAAGAAGCATTGTACTCATAAACTGACTTATGCAATTGTAACCCTTTTATACATTCTTTAATAACAATTAAAATTTTAAAAAAGCTGGTTGTCTGTGGTTTCCTGTTAGCTTCATTTACCAGAGTAGTTTATTCCCCCTTTCCTCATCTAAATTCAAGAAACTGCCAAAACTTCCAAAACGGAGGGCAGGGTAATACTTTTTAATTTTGTACCAAAATAATTGTTTGTCTTCAAGTCTGAAACTGGTAGCCCCAAGCCGCTTGTGAGAAGTCACCAGGAAAGTCACCTGAAAGCAAGTCCTGCTTTCAGAAAGGTCAGTAACTGGGCTGGGAAGGTGGCTCAGTGGTAGAGCACTTGCCTTGCATGCATGAGGTTCAATTCCTCAGCACCACATAAGCAAAAAGAAAAAAGCCGGAAGTGGCGCTGTGGCTCAAGTGGTAGAGCGCTAGCCTTGAGCTGAAGAGCTGAAGGACAGTGCCCAGGCCCAGAGTTCAGGCCCCACAACCGGACCCCCCCCCCAAAAAAAAAAAGAAAGAAAGGTCAATAACTCGGACACTCTAGAAGACTTTCTCAGCACTTAGCATTTCCTAGATGTGCTATAGAAACAGCAGTTAACTACCTTGGCTCGGGACTGCAATCTCTGATACAAGTACCTTATGCCTTGATCAAATGACCCAAACAGGACCTTATTTGAAATTCACCTTACACTGAACTATCTCAGGTAAAATTTGAAAACATAGGAAGTTATAGAACAAGATTAGCAAAATCATAATTGTTGCATCTAGGTGATACTTATATGGGCTCCACTCTGCTGTTCTCTCTTTGAAAAGGCTTGTTTGGTATATTAGTGGAAAATAGAGTTAATGTTTAAACTTTTAATATTTAAATGCAGAGACCCAGAAGATCAAGAAATCAATCTTTCTGAGTTTGGAACTTGAGCTTGATGTAAAAACTCTAAACTAAGCCATGAGATTAATTTTCAAGAGGCTTGGTTGTAATACTGCATTTATCTAATTCTTCCAAGTAAGAAAAACGATGATGGTAGTACCAACATGTGCTTTCTACGTACTTAGTGCTATGTTTTACATGTGTTATTTATAAGTATTAACTCAATTTAAGAAGCAAGCCCATCAGATATGAAAAGATGCAATCATAGAGAAGGGAAACACTTCCCCAGATGGGTAGTGGCAGGGCTATGATGTGAGCTAAGCCTGAACTCCTAATGTGGACCTGTGTTGCTCAATACTTTTTTCCAGCTAAAAAAAAAGAGAGAGATCTGGCTTGGGATCTGAATGAAAGTGGCTTCTTGCTGCATGCATTGACAGCCATTTTATCTTCTTCAAATAACAGATCCCGGGCTGGGAAGGTGGCTCAGTGGTAGAGCGCTTGCCTTGCATGCCTGAGGCTCTGGGTTCGATTCCTCAGCACCACATAAGAAAAAGAAAAAAGCCAGAAGTGGCGCTGTGGCTCAAGTGGTAGAGCACTAGCCTTGAGCTGAAGAGCTGAGGGACAGCGCCCAGGCCCAGAGTTCAGGCCCCACAACCGGACCCCCCCCAAAATAAATAAATAAATAACAGATGCTTTGGGACTACCCTGTTCCCCCTCCCCACCCCCCCACCTCAAAAAAAGGAGAAAAGAATAGGTACTATGAAGTAATCACACTTGATTCTTCCTCCTCCCCTCCCCCTTCCTCCTCCCTCTTCTGACAAGAGCCCAGGCTGACCTTGAATTCTCTTTCCTCTTGATTTAGCCTCCCAAGTGTACCACTTCACACCCAGCTTAAGTTATCGTGTGTGTGTGTGTGTGTGTGTGTGTGTGTGTGTGTGTGCATGTGCACATGCATGCATGTACATGTAAATATTGGTCCTTGAACTCAGGGCTTGGGCATTTTCTTAACAGTTCCAATTGAACCATAGCTTCACTTCTGGCTAGTTAATTAGAGTTTTCTCTCACAGACTTTCTTGCCTGGACTGGCTTTGAACCTTGGTCCTTAGATCTCAGTCTCCAAAGTAGGTAGGATTACAGACACGAGCCATCAGCACCTAGCACATGGCCTACTATCTTATCTTGAGGGTATACTACTTTTGCTTTTCTATTTGTTTTGCCTCAATAAATGTCTCTCTGTTAAAATTTCCTGTGTTTCCTCAAAATCCTTTCTTTGAAAAGACCAAGAGCCTGCAATTTGTCTCTGCAGACACTGGAAACTGTAGCTCAAAATAGCAACTTTCTCTATATTTAGAACAAAATCCAATGTTCTTGCTTACCTACCAGAAGCAATGAAGTCCTCTGTGATGTGGTCTGTCTTCTCTTTGATCTCAAAACTTGTCATTTTCATTGGGTGTACCTGTGCCTCAAACCTATAATCCTAGCTACTCAGTAGACTGAGCTCTGAGGACTGCAGTTTGGGAGCCAGCATGGGTAGACAGATTCAAGAGACTTGTCTCCATTAAATAGCAAAATGCTGGAGTAGAGTCATGGCTTAGTGGTAGATAGCCATCTTTGAACAAAAAGGCTGAAGAAGAGTCCAAGGCCCTTTAAAGCCTGCATACAAAACAACAATGCCCCCCACTCCCAACATTTTTACTTTCTATTATCTATCTGATCCACACTGGCCCTCCTGCCTTCCTCATAAATGTCAAGTAAATTCCTGACCCAGGGCTTTTGAACCCAGGGCTTCTGTTCCCTCTCTCTGGGATGTACTCCCACTCTCCCTCCCCTTTCTCAAATGATTCATTCCTTTTTTTTTTTTTTTAATCACATCTGCCCCCTCAGAAAAAGTCTTTCCTGCCCACTCCACTTTTTTTATTTTCTTTTGTTGGCCATGGGGTTTGGACTCTGGGCCTGGGCAATGTCCCTGAGCTTTTCAGATCAAGGTAGTGCTCTACCACTTGAGCCACAGCGCCACTTCTGGTTTTTGAGAGGTTAAATTGGAACTAATAGTCTCACAGGGACTTTCCTGTCCAGGCTGGCTTTGAACCATGATCCTCAGACTTCAGCCTCCTGAGTAGCTAGGATTATAGGCATGAACCACTGGCCCCGCTGTGCTCTCAGCCTTACCTTTTGACCTAATATCTACCTAAGCCTTTCCTATCCACTATGCCTTATACTCATTGGATGAATACTGGCTGATTTAATTACCTATTTCTTTAGGTCTAAAAAGACAGGGCCTTTGTCTTAAGCATCATTCTTTCACAAAGAATAGAGAAGGTGTTCATAACCAAGTATTTGGCTAAATGACTCTTCCGATATGTATAAGGTATACTAATCTTACTCCTGACTTACTTTCCTCTCATTCCTCCTTTATCTTGATTTCTTCTACTTAACTTTATTCTGTTATAGAAATTTAATTTTTGTAAGCTTCCTTAGATTAAAAAAAATCAGGTTGACAGACATGAATGCACTTTGTAAAATCGTAAAATAGGCAACTAACAAGCAAATGATGGAGCTTAGTGTAAATTCACTTGTTATATCTAATACTCACATATTATCAGCAAAGAAACAGCTGGCTTGCTTTTGTATCATTTCCATTTCATCCTTTCTCCATCGGGCATTACGTGTTAGCATGTGTTTCCGGCCCAGGACCAGCAGTTGAAGATTCTGCTTAGCTAGTTGAGAAACTACATTCAATAGCTATAAGACACAAAACATACACCAAGCTCTTTAGGTCAAGTGAAAAATCTCAAGCAAGTTCCAGACCACCTAGCCTGGACAATTTTTTAAAAGAAGTCTGGGTATGTCAGCTCATTAAGAGTGCTTGCATAGACTCAGGAACCTGTAGATGGATCCATAGGAACATACATGCCCCCCCGCCAACACACACACACACACACACACACACACACACACCCCAGAAATGGAACCACCATCCCCGCTTTTGATATTGATTTCTTAAGTTTCCATGCAGCTAAGAAGACATCATTGAAAAAAAAACAAACCCAAATGGGTCTTTGAAGTTATATCCTGGCTCAGAGGTGACTAATTATTAAGTTAAAGGCTGACAGTCCAAGAAAAGGCAGAAAAACCTTATCTTGAACTACACTGGAGCACCATCTTGTGGCTGAGAGGCTTCTATTAACAGTAGCTCTAAAAAGAATAGAAGACATAGGAAAGATGAGTGGGTGGGCAGAATAAAGGTACTGTTTCCCGAAACATTTTGACAATCCAGCTATAAAAGCTTACTTTCATGAGGGGCACTGATGCTTCACTCCTGTAATCCTAGCTACTCATGAGGCTGAGATCTGAGGATCGTGGTTCAAAGCCAGCCTGGGCTGGAAAGTCCATGAGACTCATCTCCAATTAACCACCAGAAAACTGGAAGTAGCACTGTGGCTCAAGTGGTAGAGCACTTGCCTTGAGCTGAGGAGATCAGGTTCAGCACCCAGGCCCAGAGCTCAAGCCCCATGACCAGCTCTCCCTGCCCCCGCCTTAAAAAAAAAAAAAAGGTGGGGCTGGGAAGTGGTAGAGTGCATGCCTTGCAAGCATGAGGCCCTGGGTTCGATTCCTCAGCACCACATAAACAGAAAAAGCCGGAAGTGGCGCTGTGGCTCCAGTGGTAGAGCGCTAGCCTTGAGCTGAAGAGCTGAGGGACAGTGCCCAGGCCCAGAGTTCAGGCCCCAGGACCGGCAAAAAAAACAAAAACAAAAACAAAAAAACAAAAGAAGGTTCCTCTAAAATAAATTCCAAGACAGAGAGACAATTTCCAAGCAAGGACTTGGATTCAATAGCCAGTATTGGAAGGAGGTGGTGGGTGGGGGATAATGGAGAGAGAGAGAGAGAGAAGGTAGAAGACAGGAAAGGAGGAAAGAGGGAGGAGAGAAGAAAGAAAACCAAAAACAACTAAGAAGTCTTAAGTTCCACAAAATAAGACTCTGTCTCAGAAACAAACAACTGAGAGGGAGAACAGAGTAGAGATATGTTTCTTCAGTGCTTTAGTATAACTAAAACCTCTGGATGTAAGAAGAAAAGGAAAGCTGGCTAAGGATTTTGAATGACATAGGCGTGAGCTCCTATATGTCCTAGCCTTAGAGCTGAAGAAGTTGTCAATCAGGAAAAGAAGCTGTATGCAAACAAGAAAAGCAGAGGGGGCTGGGAAGGTGGCTCAGTGGTAGAGCACTTGCCTTGCATGCATGAGGCCCTGGGTTCGATTCCTCAGCACCACATAAGCAAAAAGAAAAAAGCCGGAAGTGGCGTTGTGGCTCAAGTGGTAGAGTGCTAGCCTTGAGCTGAAGAGCTGAGGGACAGTGCCCAGGCCCAGAGTTCAGGCCCCACGACCCGACCCAAAAAAAAATAAAAAATAAAAAAAAAGAAATGTACTCTTTACCAGATTAATGTAACTGTAACCCCTCTGTAATCACCTTTATAATAACAGAAAACATTAAAAAATACATCCTAGATGATAAGAAAGCTCTGGATAGAGATGGTGGCAGGGTTATTACAACAATGTGAATTATTTAATGTCATTGAACTAATTGTATAGTTAAAATTTGCACTGGGTATGATAGGGCACACCTGGAATCCCAACACTCAGGAGGCTGAGGAAGGAAGATCTTGATTTCAAGGTCAGCGTGGGCTGCACAGAGATATGTCTTATTTTATGTTTTTACAATAAAAAAGTTTGATCACAGAAATTTAGAAACATAATTATCTTCAGACTTCCTCCTCAGATTATTTATTACTATTACAACTATGGTTATTTTTTAATCAAGAAAAGAGGTTTATTTTGGCTTAGTACTGAAGGTACAAGGTTGAGGGGCTGCATCCTTCTAGATGATTTAGAAACAAATCATAGACATTATATACTCTCATTTGTGAATATGTCAATGCATTTTTAAACATATAGCTCTTTTTTTGTTGTTGGTCGTGGGGCCTAAACTCTGGGCCTGGACGCTGTCCCTCAGCTCTTCAGCTCAAGGCTAGCACCCTATCACTTGAGCCACAGAGACACGTCTGGCTTTTTCAGGGCCTCATGCATGCAAGGCAAGCATTCTACCACTGAGACACCTTCCCAACCCCTAAACATATAACTCTTAAAAACATGGGCACATGTACCCATCACCTGACTTCATATAACTGTAACACCTCTATACCTCACCTTTACAATAACAAAAATTAAAAACATAAGCACAATACCATCATCACATCTAAAAGCTTAATTCCTTAACATTTAATATACAATGATCATAATTCTGAGTTCTAAGTTTTTAAAAATTAGGATCTAAAAAAGCTCCCCTTATATTGCAATTGCTTGATAACTTTTAAAATTGTCTAGAATTTTTTGTCTTTGAAAGAAACAGGGCTGTTTTTCTCACACTTAGGTTTTTGATGACTTCATGGAACATAGCCTTCAATCATGTTTTCTGTAAGTTGGCAGCTGGATACAGGGATTGTGAATGAAGTCTGTTTTTTTTCCTTTCTTTTCCTTCCTTCCTTCCTTTCTTCTTTCTTTCTTTCTGTTTTTCCTATCTCTTTCCTTCTTTCCTTCTCTTTCTTTCTTTCTTTCCTTCCTTCCTTCTTTCTTTCTTCTTTCCTTTGCCTGCCTCTCTCTCTTCTCTCTCTCCATTTAAAAATCTCTGTATTTAAAATCACAGTCTTGATAAAGGGAAAAAGCCAGTTCACTCCTTAACATTAATTCATTGAGAACTTTCTCTATAAGTCATTAACCAGAACTGCAAGGGATACAGATGTAAGGGTTCAGTTTTATTAATTAATTAATTTTTGAGCTGATACTGGGGCTTAAACTCAGAGCCTGAGTGTTATCTCTTAGCTTTTTCTCTCAGGGCTGATGCTCTGCCACTTCAGCCATAGCTCTACTTCAGCGTTTTTGGTGGTTAACTGGAATTAAAAGCCTTATGGACTTTACTGCTTCAGATGGCTTTAAACAATGATCTTCAGCTCAGCCTTTTGGCTAGCTAGGATTACAGGTATGAGCTACAGGTGCTCAGTTCAGCTACGCTGACTATAACAATGCAGTTAGAGCTAAGAAGGAGCACAAAGGAAGGGCTTCAGATTATGGGTGAGGAGGGTGGTCAGGGACATCTCCAGAGAGGCAATGACCACAAACAGAGCTTTATTTTCAGATGAATTATTCCAAGGACAAGGAGCAGCACATGTAAAAGTGGGGACTCTATTAGGATACTGAGTTCTGGGAAGTACAAGGTGCTAAATGTGGCTCAGGCAGAGTTATGGAAGGATGACAGCACTAGAAATAAGGCTGGAAATGAAAGCAGAGGTCAGGTGCCAGGGATTCTTGTAAGCTGTGCTAAGTCTTTTCTTGCCTGAGAACAATGGGGGAAAACCAAAAGGATTTGTAACAGGGGGTGACTTCACTTTTAGCGAGAACAGAATGATGGACTGCAACAATGCTGGACTAGCATAAGGAGATCATTGGGAGACTTGGCAGTAATGTGAGCAAGAGATGAGAAAACTGGTAGTAATGTTGTAGAGAAAGACCTCTGAGATTCAATAAAGTGGCACTGAGCAGACTTAGTCCTTGACTAGATGTGGGAAACAGGATAGTACAAATCAAAACACATCTGGACCACTAAATGATGGTACCAAGGCAGATTCTATGAAAGGAGGAGCCTTTTGGGGGTGGGGGGCAGTTCTGGGGCTTGAACTCAGAGCCTGGGCTGTCTGTGCTCAAGGCTAGTACTATAACATTTGAGCCACAGCACCATTTCTAGCTTTTTCTGAGTAGTTAATTGGAGATAAGAGTTTCACAGACTTTCCTGGCTGAGCTGGCTTTGAACTTCAGTCCTTAGATCTCAGCCCTTTGAATGGCTAGAACTACAGGCATGAGCCACTGACACAGGCTAGAAATAGATACTTTTATGTGCAATTATTAATTCTGATAATTAAGGGAATACAAAAGCACTTCAGGAACAGACAATGAAAAACTCTGCTTGACATTGTTCCAGGACAAAGACAAACATTAGTACATGCTCTAGAGAGCATGTTTATAGGAGAAAAAGCAAGGGAAGTTATAACTTGCACTAGTACAATGAAGTTTACTACTTGTATCTAGACTACTTCCCTCTGCAGGTTCACTTACACTTATCATTCTCTTTTCACTTCTCCCCCCTCTCTCAACAAGGTCCTGCTATACAGCCTAAGCAGACTTCAAACTCAAGATCCTCAGCCTGGTGCCAGTGGCTCATGCCTGTAATCTAGCTACTCACGACACAGAGATCTAAGGATCACAGTTTGAAACCAGCCTGGGCAGGAAAGTGCAAGACTCTTATTTCCAATTAACTACCAGAAAACCAAAAGCAATGTTGTGGCTCAATGTAGTAGAGCGCTAGTTTTGAGTGAAATAAATTCAGGGACAGTGCCCAGGCCCTGAGTTCAAGCCCATGGCCGACAAAATAACAACAACAAAATAACAAAAATCCTCAAGATCCTCCTGCTTCAGACTCCTGAATGCTGGTATTGTAAGGGTGAGGGACCATTCCTACCTTGAAAATAAATTTTTTGTTTTCCTGCAGTGCTAGAGGTCCAGCCATGACCCTTGCATGTGCAAAACACGTGCTCCTCCCACTGAGCTACATCCCCAGCTCTTCTCTTGAACTACGTTTTGGGAAGAGAATCCTTGTCCCTTTTCCCAGAGACGATGACTAAGTTTTTCTTTCCTT